TTTCAAGGACGCAGAAGTGCGTTACGTTGAGCACGACAGAGGCGGAGTATGTCTCCCTTGCGGATGTGATGAAGGAAGTGTTGTTTCTAAGGCAGGTATGGCGTTTCATGTTGCCAGAGGCAGGTATGCCGTGTATTCCGGTGTTCGAGGATAACCAGGGGGCTATTCAGTTGGCGCATTCATCGTAATTTCGTGATGAGTGTGGGACAGGAACGGTAGATTTGGATTGACTTGTATTTGATCAAAGAACTAGGTAGGGTGGCATTGTTTTCCATTTTTGCCCATGGTCTTCTCAATCAATGGTGCTCTAGGATGGGGGGCAATTGGATCGCTATGATTTCGAAGAACTACAACTANTTTTCACGTGGAATCAGCGTATCAACATGCTGACTTCCTCACGAAGGCACGCACGTCGGAGATTTCGAGTTTCATCGTAATTTCGTGATGAGTGTGGGACAGGAACGGTAGATTTGGATTGACTTGTATTTGATCAAAGAACTAGGTAGGGTGGCATTGTTTTCCATTTTTGCCCATGGTCTTCTCAATCAATGGTGCTCTAGGATGGGGGGCAATTGGATCGCTATGATTTCGAAGAACTACAACTAGAATGAGGTAGAGCGGAATACNCGACATACCGACAAAATCATCCGCAAACAGCATTCCTGACACCGAAGTTCCCGTGTCCCCTACTGTTACTCCCTTCCGGACTGTCTCTACGACTTCCGGCAGATCGTTGATGAGCACCTGGAACAATGTTGGGGACAGCGTGCAACCTTGTGGGACCCCCTGCTCAATGTCGAAGAATTTGGACAGTTCTCCGTCTAACATGACCGCGCTTTTCGTACACTCTGTCATCTTCTTCAGCACTCTCCACATTTTCCCCTTGATCCCGTATTTGGACAATTGTTTCCACAACCCATTTCTCCATACGGTGTCGTATGCCTTTTTCACGTCCAGGAAGAAGCAGTACGTCGGCTTTCCCGCCCTCTTTCTACCTTGGATGATTTTCCCTACCGTGAATGCGTGGTCTACGCACCCCCTCTTCTTTCGGAAAGCTGCCTGGCCCTCACTAATGCTATGTTCCTTCTCCAATACTCCCACTATCCTATCGTTCAGCAGCTTACAGAACAGTTTTCCTACCGTGTTCAACAGTGTGATCCCCCTGTAGTTTCCTGGGTCAGTCTTGTCTCCATTCTTAAACAAGTTCACAACCGCTCCTTCCCTCCGTCTTCTTGACGTACACTCGTTTTTCCACACCCAATCGCACAGCAGTACCATCAACTGGACCATCCCCTTCCCCCCGAACTTCATGAACTCGTTAGCTATCCCATCCGCTGCTGCTGCTTTGTGGCACTTCAGCTTGTTCACACACGCCTCAACCTCGTCTCAGTGAACGTCCTTTTCTAGTTCTACGTTCCCAACGTCTGCCTTCGATGTCTCTTCTTCTTTTTGGGCCCATGCGTCCACCTCCTTCTTAAACGCTTGGTCAAAAGCTTCATTCTCCGAGGGCACTCCAAGTCTCTTGTAGTGTCCTGCTAGAACCTCCCTTTTTCCCTTCCCACTGCTGACTAATCTACCGTTCACACCTCGCAAAGTTTCTACCCTGTATCCCCCCCTTGCGCGGTCTTTTTTACCATTCCACTAATCCCTTCCCACATCTGCTTGACGTTCCCCTCCAGGCTTCCGTTGGCCTTCTGCACTACTTCGTCCCAATTACACTTTTTCTTCTTTTTCGCTAATCCCTTCACCTGTTTTCTCTTGGCCCTGTACTTTTCCCAACTCCTCTCAGACGCCTCACTCAGGTACTGCTTGAAGACTTCTCTACGTTCCCCTATTTCTTCGTTCAGCTCGTCATCCCACCACGTAACCGATACCCCACATTGTACCACCTTCTTTCCCACTACTCCCTCTGCCGTTGTGTTCACTATGGACTCCCGCCCTTCGATCATCCCGTCCCCTGCTGCTTGTACGTCTACCTGTCCGTCATGGGGGAGGCTAAACTATCCTTCGGATCATAGACAGAAACAGCAGCAACAGAAGAGAACTGCACGCGTCTACCATAGCCACTAGCTTGTATTCGAGTTCGCTTAGGAGCAGTTTCACCATTGTCCCTCTTGTTTTCGCGACCATCATTCTGATCCTCATTTTGCAAGAATCTCTGGGGAGTTCTTCCCTAGCCCTACGTTTTTTATTTTGGGGAAGGTCATCTGGCTCAAACCCTTTGCTCTCTTCCACTCCTCCATGTTTTCCTCCTCCATCGTCGTCTTAGTCCTCCTTTCTTCCCTTTCCCTTTCCTTTGTGTCCGTTCCGCCCAAAATAATTACCCTCATTACTATCATTGTCGCAGAGATCCCGACCGATTGGCCCTGGTGGAAGTTGGTCGGTCAGTAGCCCATGACGTTTGAACACTGTTCGTGAGCCCTAGCCCTGTTAAGACCGGCGGACTTGGGGCTGCTGTTTAACTGTGTGTATTAGCTCGCATGAGAGAGGAGAGAGGGAGAAGGAGGAGAGGCCCCAATTCTCGAGAGAATACGGGGACTCCGCACTATCATCCAAAGCCTCTCAGCACATACCCTTCAAGTTGTCCCAGTTGCGTCCTACGTAACGGCTACTTTTCGACTATCTATTTCTACGCACGAACACCCTCCCTGGTTCTTTACGCCAGTGAAGAACCTCTAGTGCGTCGAAAATACGTCCGAAAAACCGAAACACAACGACAAACCAAAAGTATAGGGGAAACCCGGCCACCGGATCAAAACCCCTCAGAAATTCAACGCCTCACGCCGATCATATCACGAAAGATTCCAACGGCTCAAACAAAATTCAATAGCCGTCCATATCACCAATGATTCGNCGGCCACCGGATCAAAACCCCTCAGAAAATTTAACGCCTCACGCCGATCATATCACGAAAGATTCCAACGGCTCAAACAAATTCCAATAGCCGTCCATATCACCGATGATTCCAACGGCCGTACTGCAAGAAGACAAAGATAAAACCACTCCAGACGCTCGGATTACAAATTCTAGGCAACGCTCTACTACCTCGAGCAACGCCTCTGACAAATCCTTCCGACATGATGGAACGAACTCCTTGCTGTGCAGCACCAACTGATTCTTCAGGTGTCACACACATACAGGCAACGCCCTCCCTGTCTATCTACATTCCACAAGAAAACTGCATCGAACAGGTACGTTCTCCCTGCCTTCGGTTCAACCATCTGCAATCCTACACGAACTCAAAATCATGACCTGTTTCCAACTGAAAAACCAATCAAACTCGATTCTCCAAAGGATGCCCGCTTTTGAGAAATATACAACCTGCCGAATGTAGCCTGCTTCAAACAAGGTCCACCATCTGCAACCTCCCAAATTATTCCTCAGTTCTCCTTCAATCAAGGATACATCAACTTGCTACTGAACCTTCAAGCACAACTACGCAAAACACAAACGCCCCCCCACAACTTGGTAACGC